AAATTGCTCACGATCACTCTTCACATATTTTTAAGGGAGGAGTAATTTGAGAAAGGCTAGTCACCATGTGCTTATGAGAAAGGCTATTCAAACCATTGAAATTTAGATGGGCATACCGCAGATGCCAAAGCCATGTCAAATCACTAACATCAGCCTTGAAACAGATTTGAATATTTTTTGTTTTCAAGGGAAACAACCTATTCGGGGTGGTCTTAACATGAGCAATTATCCCTCTTCTTGGATCATAGATTTCACATGCACCCCCTTTGATTGTAGTCTCATAACCTTTCTCTTATAATTGTCCCATACTTAACAAATTACTTTTCAAATCAGGAACATAAATTACATTTGAAATAGTCTCAATATTGTCATTTTTAGTCTTGATTTGAATATCACCCTTTCCCGTAACATTTACTTTAGAATGATCACCAAAACTTATAGTAGTATGAAAATCTTCATTTAAATACGAAAATAGTGATTTATTACCGCACATATGATTACTGCATCCCATATCCAAGTACCATATGTCTGTTTCTAGCTCCTCCTTGAGTTGAAATGCCATCAAGAGTGTTTCTTGTTCCCTTTTCTCTACAAAGTTTGAATGATCTCCCTTGCCAGAGTGAAGATTTGCAGTGCATTCAGACTTATAATAACCAAATTATGGTAGCGGTAGCACTCAATGTTGGACTCATCAAACTTTTAATCATTGTTAAGTGAATGCTAATGGTGATCACGTCCTCTGCCTCTACCTCTGCCTCGAGATTCTGGTGCGTAAAATCCTCTACCTCTTCCTCGTCCACGGCCTCGACCACGGCCTCTACTTGATCCTCTTCATGTAGAGGCTTCACCATAAGTTGAAACCTTTAAAGCTTGCTCCTCGGTTGAACCTATTGTTATTCTTTGCTCATGCACCAGCAATGAACTTTGCAACTCATCAATTGAAAGCTCATCAAGGTCTTTTGACTCCTCAATAGAACATACAACATAGGAAAATTTTGGAGCTATTGATCGAAGAATTTTCTCCACCACGTTTGCAATTTTGTCACCATGAACACGCATCTTGTTTACTATTGCCAATGTTCTTGAGAAATATTCATCAACAGACTCTCCTTGGTTCATATGGAAAATCTCGAATTCTTTGTGAAGGGCTTGAAGCTGTGCCTTTTAACCTTTGTTGTGCCCTGGTATTTTGGCTTCATGGAATCCCATATCTATTTACAGGTATCCTTTTGTAGAATCGTCTCCAAAATGGTACGATCAATAGCTTAAAATAGATAGTTCTTTGCCTTGAGATCCTTCAGCTTCTATTCTTCAAGTCTCTTCTGTTGAGCTTCAATCAACACCATTTCAGGGGCTGGTTCAGTCACCACTGTAGTCCAATATTTTTTAGATTGCAAAAAATTATCCATCAACATACTCCAATGATCATAGTGACCATCAAAGCGAGGTATCGCTGGTTGCACATAGTTATTGTCTGATGCCATTGATGCCCGTTGGATACTGCAAAATAGAAAAGGTGAAATAGAAATTTGCTATTGCTATATCACTCCCTATCTCACTCTCTGTTTTTTTGCACTCTGTAGTTTTTCTTTTCTCACTCCTCCTGGTTCTGATACCAGATGTTATACAAAAGACAGATTCTGGCACAGTTAGAAAAAAGAACGATGAAGGAGTGAGACCTTTTCTGAAGAAGACGAAGAACTACTTTATTATCATAATGAAATTGCCTTTATATAGGCATTACAACCAACAAACTTACCAGAAAAATAGCAGAGAAATCAATAGCAACTAACCCATGACTAACAACTCCTAAGCTCGTGGATTCTCCTAAAGAAATGGTAAGCCATGTACCCAATTTCCTATGGAATAGGACTTCAAAGATTTAGTACTAATTACTAAAAAATGAAACATTAACAGTTTAGTCCGTGAATTTGGAACGCAAAATTAATCACGCTATAATGGTTGAAACCGTTGGCTAGGGATTAATTTGAAGATCTGTTAAAACCGTTGGCACCTGTTCTTCTTCTTCCCCCATTTGAGTTCTGGCTTTGTCGCCTTCAGCTGCAGACGCTTCGAGGCAGTCACGCTATCCCTCTAGTGGCTAATTTAGGATGATTAGAACGCGAATCTAATAAGTTTAGTAGATCTTGGGATTAAGTTCTTGAATAAATTTTATGAATTTTCCTGTTTCATGATCATGAACTTGTTATTCAACATAAATTGATAACTAAAATTAAAATGTCATAATGTGGCAACATCGTTTGTTGTTAAAACACAAATAAGAGAATCAGTAGATCTCCTGATTTTTAAAATAAAAGAGAAAGAAAGACAAGGAACGATGTTAAATCCCATATCTTGAACTTCGGAATCGGCCTGCTATCTTCTTCTTTTTTGTTCTCTTCAAACCCTAGACACGTGTTTTATGTTTTCTTAGATGAAGAGCATAACTGCAGAATCTTTTGATGTCTGAAAATCGATGTATTTGTAGTGTTTGAGTTTTGCTTCTAAATTTTGGCCCAAATTAATCCCAATATTTCCCCTCAGCGCAAGTTAATAAGGATTAGGCTTCAAATGTGCCTCCTCACGGCAACAAGCCAAATTCTTCCATAGCGGCGAAACTGAAGCAATGTTCTTTACAACTTTCAGTTGCGTTGGCGCAACCTCAAGATTTTCTTGACATGGACTTCTAGAAGTTTTCGTTCTCAGCTCCCCCCCCCCCCCCCCCCCCCCGAAAATCTAACGTCTAAGGCATCATTTTTTAAATTTCACGTCTTTCCTCGTACCTTGCGGTTTGGCACAGACCCTTAATTAGTTCCTCTCTTTTCCATGTCCAGAACTCGGAGTTAACCTACAACAAGAAAAGCAAAAAAATAAAAAATAAATAAATAAATAAAAAATATATCGACTAACATCTGTACACGATTAAGTTCTACGTACTTATCACATGTTAATTCGCAATCTTCCGAAGAATTTCTTCAAAAGGGATCTCAATTTGTAGGAACCAAAAAAAAAAAAAAAAAATTTCTTCTTCTATCAAATTTATCATCAGAACTGCAGTATTATCTTGATTGTCAGATTTAAATTCAGCCTTTCTCCAACTCTTGAGCTCACTAACATGGTCCTATTTTGCAAGTTTTACATCGGTAGAATGTTAGTACATTCGATACAAAAGTCCTAAGTAATTTTTAATGTTTGAAGTAACATAAAAGAGCTAACTAATTTTTGTGAATAAAAATAAAGAATGTTTGGTAAAGCTTAAATTTAATTTAGTGANGTTTGAAGTAACATAAAAGAGCTAACTAATTTTTGTGAATAAAAATAAAGAATGTTTGGTAAAGCTTAAATTTAATTTAGTGATATGATGTGGAAGAAAATATATATTGGGTATTTGATATAAAAATGGATTAACTTGTTTGCTGGGGAACTTACAATTTCGAGCCGCTACTTTCACGAGGAGCAAATCTTCCAAAAATAGAAATCGTAATTTCCCTATGCGATTGTGTGTAGAATTTTTGTATTACCATGCCTGACAAAGTCTTATGAAGAGTTGACTTTACGTGTTTGATCTTAATCCGTACATTATGCCAAAGAGGGAGTAGTTTTATAATTTCCTGTTCTAATAGATCCCATTTTTAATGAAAACTTAGCTGTCACTGAACAAAAACTTTGACTAGCAAAAGTCGCCTATATTCGATTTTGCAGTATAAATTAGCGTTCTTGCCTTGCTTGAAATTGCATATTGTTTCCAATGGCTTCTTCTCTTCATACCCTCTTTTTCTTCCTCGCTATTTTCATTTGTAGTTCTGGGTATGCTGCCAACGTACCATCCAACGGGCTTGTCCTCCCCGTTGGGAAGGACACGAAAACTTCCCAATACTACACAACACTACAAATGGGCAGCAACCATGCCACGGTTAATGCAGTTATCGATCTTGGCTCCCAGTTCTTGTGGTTCGCCTGCGATTCCTACGCTTCATCTACCTATAATCCAATTCCCTGTGGATCCAAGAAATGTGAAATAGCGAAAGGGATTGGATGCGCAGGATGCAATCTACCCCCTCGTCCGGGGTGCACCAATGACACCTGTGGTGCCTCCCCATACAATCCCTTCGAAAACATGCTTTATTCAGAAGGGTTTGCAGAGGACACATTATACTCGAAAAATAACGTGAAAGTTTCTGAGCTTCCCTTTTCTTGTTTCCAATCAGAGTACTTGATCGGTTTCGCCAGTATAGCTACTGGAATGTTAGGCCTCGCCAGGACTGAAATTTCGTTGCACAAACAGGTTGCAAATAAATTCAAGTTACCTGACAAATTTGCATTATGTATTCCATCTGATAAAGGAGTGGGGAAAATATACATTGGTGGAGGAAGATACACTACTCCTAAATCACTTGTGTCTACACCTCTTATTATAAATCCAGTTAGCACTTACCCAATTTACACTGAAGGTGATCCATCAGATGAGTATTTCATCGATGTAAAATCCATCAGAGTCAATGGAAGACCTCTAGCTATCAAAACATCGTACTTAACCATTGACGAAAAAGGAGTTGGAGGGACAAAAATCAGCACTATAAACAATTTCACTGTTTTGCATAATTCAATTTACAAGCCTTTAACCAGGGCCTTTGTCAAGGCCGCGGCCAACATGAAGATCAAAAGTATAGCAGCAGTGGCGCCATTTAGAGCATGTTTCAGCGTAGAATCCATTTCCAGCTTTGTCCCAACAATTGATCTTGTTTTGCCAGGAAAGAATGTTTACTGGAGAATACACGGAGCAAACTCACTGGTTAAAGTTAATAATAATGTTTCATGCCTTGCATTCGTGGATGGTGGAAAAGAGCCAAGAACTTCTGTCGTTATCGGGGGACATCAGTTAGAGGATAATCTTCTTGAATTTGATTTGGTTTCATCAAAGCTCAGCTTTAGTTCATCCCTTCTACTCCAGAATTCAAGCTGTTCCCGTGTTTAAGCTCTTCTGATTATTTTCTTTTTCTGCATTGATTTTCAGACTTTAATAATGTAGTCAATTCTCGGTTTCGTGTTCAATAAGGATATATCCATCATGGAAAACATATTATTTAAATGAATAAGTTTGTTCTGTATTAATTAATGGTATCATTGTATTACAACTAACAACGCTTGAGCATGTTTCATAATGTATTCTCTCAATGCCGTGTTAGAGATGAAATGACAACTCCAAATAGTTAGAGAAAATTATTTTGTAATAATATCCTAATCTTGTATAATTATATAATTAATCAAAAAATACTCAAAAACACATATACAATTTGGAGTTTACACAAAATATTACAGACCCTTGACCAACCAAAAGACATCAAGATCTCATCGAATGTAGGCTCAGACTATTGTACCCGTCTGCTTTAACATAGAAGCCTTAAATCAACCATCACAAACTCAGAAGTGTGGGAGTTACTTTTATGGACTAGACGAACTAAACCACATCAATCGTTTCCTTCTCACGCGATTGAATTACTCAGACCCTCAATCTCAATTAAAAATTATAGATTCATCCAATAAGAAGTTAAAGATGAAGAGAAGATGATCAGATACTCACAAAGAACTCTCCAAAAGATGGCACCCACACAAAAAGAAAGAAAATGATAGAAGTGGAAATTTCATACACCCCTGATTTTTAACTTCTCATTTCAAAAATAAGATATAAAACTTATTTATTCAAAAATCAAATAATAAAAATTCAATATTTTAATATCAATAATAATAATAATACTATTAAATATAATTAATCTACCATTTCCATTCCATCTATCCCACAAACCCTAATTCATTTTCATAAATTTCTCTCCACCCCGTTCATCCCCGACGCCTCTTCACCCTCATTTTTGGCAAATCTTCACCACTCCCACGAGTGCCAACGATAGATACAGCAGGCGGTGCCTATGCCGCTGTAGTTCGATGCTTGGTGCAGTGGTTGTTAAGCAACAGTTCGATGTTTGGTGTGGTTGTGAGGGGGTCTTTGTTGTGGTGTTGCTTGTAGTGTTTGACGATGTAGGTAGAGTTGAGGAAGACGGCGAAGTGAAATCCATGATGACAGCAAGCCCAACATCATCAACCCATTTCAAGCTCCCAAAAAGCCTAACCTAATCTAAAAGTCAGCCAGAGAACTTCGGTCTAGGGTCTAAATTTAGGTTTGATAAGATTGCCCGATTCAGATAAGGTCGTGCTTGTTGTTTCTGTAGT